TTTGTCACCTGCGGCCCAGGTGGCCTCAATGGCATTGAGTGCCTTTCACCAGCTTCAGTTGGTAGCCCAGCTTACTTCCCTATCTGGACACAGAGAGCCTGGTTTCAATAGTCTACACTCGGGTAAACTAAGTTATATGACTGCAATGCACTCTACATGGGGCTTGAAAACTGTTCAGATGCTGCAGCTCATGCAGAATGCAGCAGCCAAATTAATAACTGGGAGCCATAGGTCTGAACCTATGGTTCTGCCCACTTGCGTTAGCTGCCTGTATGCTTCTGGGTCTAATTCAAGCTGCTGGTTTTAACCTATAAAACCCTAGACAACTCGGAACCACAGTACTTGACGGAGCACCTCCCCTAGCTGCAATCTACCTGGACATGATGGTCAGCATCTGGGGTTTTCCTTTGAGCACTAAGGGAGGCTTGGAAGGTAATGACAAAAGGGAAGGCTTTTTTTTGTGTTGGCCCCCATCTATGGAATGACCTCCCCATTGCAGTCTGCTTTACCAATTTTTCAATGCCAGGTAAAGATGGCCCTTTATGCCTAGTATTTTAAAAATATTCTTGGATATCCAGGGCCTTGAGGGGCTTCTCCATCCTAGATATTTTCCTTTTACAATGTTATACTGTTAGCTGTTTTTAACTTTTAACGTTTCTTTTTTATAAGATTTTAAGGCATTTTATTGTACTGCTTTTTATATAGTTGCAGAGACTTTGGCTTTTGGGCACTATAGAAATGAAATAAATATTAACAATAAAAAGAGCATGAGGAGCAAACAGCAGCTGGTGACAATGGTGGTGAGAAGGCTGACTTGCTGAAAGAAAGGACCTATTGAAGGTATCCTGCCAAGGCCTCTCAAAAATCTGGAGCTGGCATGGAGTGTTTACTTCTCTTCCATACATTTAACATTAAGCTGCCCAGCAGTGATTCCAGCAGGCCAGAACACAGGGAGTGCAAGGCCGTTTCCTCAGTTCTGCTGAAAGACGATTGCCTTTCTCTCCCCTCTTCCTTTCCTATGCCTTTTCCTTGTGTGCCCTATCAGGCAGGCAGGCAGGCAGGCAGGCTGGGAACCAAGAAAGAACAAATGAACAAACAACCTGGAGCAAGAAAGGCCCAGGGAAAATTCTTAATGGTATTTCCAGAAAACAGAACCCATTTTGGCTGTAAGACAGAAGGTCCCAGTCAGCAAGCACAAGCCACTAAGAGAGGGGAACCCTGATCTTGGTGCTCAGCTGCTGAATGGCTTCCATAGTCTATTTTTCTGTTTCAAGTCTCCTAAGTTTCTCTCTCTCTCTCTCTTTCTGTGGTTTGACTATACAACGAATAGCAATTCCCCAATCTCCAGCAGAGGGTGGTTATTCGATGGCAAACATTGAATGGTTTCCCTGTGACTTACCCACTGCAAAGAGAAACAAAAGCGTGAATGAAAAATGACTGTGGGTATGTAGCCGAGTTATCTCTGCTGCCAAGCCTGTTTTGTGTTGCCATTGCTGCTGCCTGTTGATTTAGAGAGGCTCCCTCATTTATCACCAGCAAAGTGCCGTCCACCCTGTTGAGATGCAACTTGTGCTGTTTATACAAGAGCACAAATGCAGAAAAGGACTATTTATCATGCCAAAATAATAGAAACATAGAAACAGAGCGAGTCAGAAGGGGTCTCCCGGGCCATCTAGTCTGACCTCTACAGCACCAGCCGGCTCCGCCCACAACACGCCCACCATGTGGACGTCCAGCCTATCCTTGAACACCCTCACCGATGCGGCCTCAACGACCTCCCATGGAAGCCCATTCCACACCCTTGGGGTCCTGACTGTCAGGAAGTGCTTCCTGGCATCCAAATGGAACCTTGACTCCCTGAGCTTGGCTCCGTTGGAGCGTGTCCTGCCTTCCTCTGCAGGGGAGAACAGGTCTCTACCCATCTCCATGTGACATCCCCTCGCATACCTGTATGTCACCAACATATCCCCTCTGAGTTTCCTCTTCTCCAGGCTAAAGAGACGCAGTTCCCTCAGTCTCGCCTCATACCCCATCCCCTGCAAACCGGCCACCAACCTTGTGGCCCTATGCTGCACTGACTCCAACCTGGCTATATCCTTTCTGTCTCTGTAAAACTGAACACAATACTCCAATTGCGGGCACACTTTCTAACTCTTCCCTATCAGTCTCTGCCTTAACACGCCAATACAATATATTGTAAAGGTTCTGAACATCATTGCACAAGAGACTGGTGTTGCTGGGCCATCTATCCAGCCATGGCAATGAACCGTTGCTGAATGTAAACTTCCTGGTCCAGGTCAGGACAGATTAACATTGTCAGTTCAATTACAGTTACTGTGCCTGAACTATCCTTGTGCCATAGATAAAATAGCTCAGTCTCCAGGGAGTCTTCAATTCTGAGGCTCTTCCAGAATGGCATTTCTTCTAAGAAAGAGAGAAAGCAAAACACTCCTTGCCCTTTCTTCCTGAGCTCTCCTCCTGCCAATGCAATTCTCGACTTTACCTTGCCCATAAAGGCCTTTGACAACAGAGGTTTTAGTGCTGCCCCTCTTTTTTCTTCTATAATTCAATGGATGTCCATGCAGCAGGATCCTCTGTGCACAATGAAATGATCACACATTATTTGCCAATCCAAAGGAAAAGGATGCAAAGGATTGTGCCAAAGATGTTGCTGCACCAGGGTGGACCTGCTGGGCACCCCCCAGAGCAGATCTGGGGTACATGGCAGGTGCAACTGGGGATGGCTTGGAGGCTGCATCAGGGACTGTAGTTCCTTTTTCCATTCATATGATACCTAGAGTTAGCCATCCTTAGCTGATGAAGGAAGGTTTGTTTTTACCTTGTTCAGAGCAAAAATATGACAATCAGCTTCCATGGAAACACATCAGAAAGGCTATTGACACTCTTTCATCAAGGCCAAGACCCTTGCCAGGTATTGCCTCGAGGGAACTCACAGAGATAATCCTGTTCACAAAAATCTGATTGCAAAAGCCTCATAGACTCCCGAATTAAGTCCTATGAATGACCCAATAAAAATGACCAAAAGGTTACTTCTACAGAGGTAAGAAAAGAAAAAGTTTTTCTAAGAGTCCTTGGCCAGGGCTGGACTGGGCAAGCTTGCCCCCATATGGCTTTTTAAACTAATTTTCTCTGTCCCTCTAAATTTTAACAACCAACATTAAAAGTTTTACAATTTTATCTTTCCAAGGCTTAGGATGCAGGAGAACTCCTCCCCTACTTTTGGGGGGCTCCCCAGAACCTTCAGAATGACAAGCCTGCTTCTGTACACCTCATCTGGCATACCTATGCAAGGAAAGCACAGTTGGTAAGTGAAATCAATAACCATTAGCAGTTTTAAAGCCTTCATTTGACTGTACTCCAATTAGCTGAAACTGAAACAGGAAGGAAAAAAATTAGAGCAGTTCATGGGAATATAGGGGATTCAAGAATGAAGGAGCAGGTGGAGGCAGAAAACAGTATGACAGGGTCCATGTTCCTCTAGCCTGTCTGCCAATGGAATGGGAGAAGGGTAGGACTGCTGTGTTCGCCCAGAGATCCCTGGTTTTCTGAGCGGCTCTGGGCAATGAATCTAACTGGCCAGTAGCTAGAGAGCATGTAGTGTAACCCTCAAGCAGAATGTGACCACACTCAGGTGAGAGCACATGATCATGCCTGCCATATGGCAGAGCTGGCAGCAAAGGGAGTGTACATCTTGGTCATCATTGTATCCCTGATGAGTTGCCCCAGAGCTTATCTGTGGTGACAGAACCAATGAGATCTAGTCTAGGAGCTCCATAAAAGTATTTTCCATTTTGAGTGGAAAATAACTTGCATCCATATCAACCAAACTCCACTATTATTGCAAATCCTGTGGTAGGATTCAGAACACCATCTGGTCATGGGTTGTGGGGCCAGTTTTAATTGTTGTGACCTGAGGATGTGGACAGAATGCTTGCCAGACAAGGCAGGTAAGATTTGTGTATTTAGTAAGTGGAATTTTCAGCCTGAATCAATTTGCAAGACATAATTTTCTCATAGGGTGTATAGTTCTTTTGGAGAGATAGAGTATAATCCACATGCATGAAGCAGGCCAATTACTTGTGAATGAATACTCTGCTAGGCATTGACTCTCAATCCCCTGGCAATGGGGTGAGAGAAGGGGGGCAATGGGATTTGCCCCTTCATGTGTGAAGCAGTTTGCAAAGCAAGGGCAAAGCTGGTGCCTCTTATTTACACAAACAGCCTGGATCCTTAACTGTTGATGGACCTTTTTTCATGGAGGTCAGTTGCATTAAACAATACCTCTCAAAAATGGGAGGAGAGGAAAAAGAGTCACCTCTTTGGCCCTTTCCTGCAGATGTGTTTCTGAGGAAAGAATGGAAGAATGGCTTCTGAGTACAATAGACGGAATCCTGCCTCTCAGTTCCTTTCTTTCCATGCCTGGAGAAAGAGACAGTATTTCTCAAGCTGCCTGTTCAGACATCTTGAGGAACACCACAGAAAAAGTGAGGGACTCTTTCATGAGAAACTTCATTCCTCCCAGCAAGTATTACACAGAGACCCCACAAGAGGCAGCTGTGTGCGGCTTGAAGATTGCTGTGAATGATACTGTTTTCAGGATGGAGCCTGGAATATTAAAGAGCTGTACAGAAGCAAACTCATCCCCTGTCTTGTACTGTATCAGACAGCTGGGGCTGATGACTGCCATCAATTGTGCTGTGTCATGGTAGAGGGTGAATGGGAGACACAAGAGATTTCTCAGAAGGTTGAAGGATTTTCATTTTGGCTGCATGGCATTACAAAGTAAGAATGTCTAGATTTCTTTGTACAGATTGGTAAGGAGGGATTTTCTTCCACTACTATAAGCAAAATGCTCTTCCTCCATTCCATACGAAGCATTTGGCTATTCTTTCAAGGATTAGGCATATAAATATAACTTTGCTTTTGTACAAAACACTCAGAAAACAAGCTCTCAGCCATGTTATGTAGCACACTATTTATTTCAATTATTTTCAAACTTTCACTCATTGATCAGTAAAAGGAGTGCTGATGTACTGAGAAAAATGTTAAAAATGGTCCCTATAAATCATTAGAGTCTGCAATATTCAGCACAACCTCTTCAAAAGTGAAAATAACATGTATTACTTTAGAATCTCAAAGAAATGTTAACTTTCAAAAGAATAGTCTCTGCTTTCATGGAAGTGTTTGGAAGTGATGAAAATGGGTAGAACAGCCTTGTCCAACTTGTTGCCAAAGGCCATGCTGGCTGTGAATGACTGGAGTTGCAGACCAATGCATCTGGAAGGAATCAGGTTGGGGAAGACTGGACTAGACTATGTGGGTGTTTAAATGTGGGTGTTTAAATGTGTCCACCACATTTGACAACAGAGTGAGTTTCCTATTTTGGGGAACATTCAAAGGCATAAAGAAGTCCAAGTGCACATTTACACACAGCATTCTCAGACCTGTGTGTGTGTGTGTGTGTGTGTGTGTGTGTGTGTGTGTATTGGGTGGGGGGAACGGTTTCAAAATGCATGTTCATTTGGGAAGACTGCAACATTACCTGGTGATCTGTAGGTATGAGTGGCCGAGCACCACAATCATGAACTTTCCCATCACTGTATACCACTTCAAAATTTAGTTGCCCTGGGTCAGGCTCTCTGATTTCAATGCTACTCGCAACTAACTAATTCCACCTGAATCAGGTTCAGTAGCTTTTTAAAGGGGTCAGTCCAAACAGTCATCTCTCTCTGGTGCTGACAAATCACCAGTGATGACTGATTGGGTGGGGGATGTGAGCACATCTGCTTGCTGGACTGTTTCCCTTGCTTGCAGATGAGACAAACAGGAATTGGCTCCTTCCACTCCCACTCCAGCAGTGACATGGAAATCAGCTCTTCCCAGTAGTTGTGTTCCTCCTGAAACTTGCCCTTTCACTTTTAATTTTAGGATCCACTTTCTCTGGAAGTGCTCATGCAGACACATCCATAAATCTAATTCATACACTCACTGTTAAGAATGAAAACCACTTTAATCTCTTTGGGCCCCACATCACTCGTATAACATTTGCCAACAGGAGTTTATTTATTTCTCTATTGCATTTCTATATTACCCTGCAGCCAAAGCTCTAGGCAGGCCAGGCAACTGGCATGGTTACTTCCCAAACTAGCAGCCACATCAGCTGCTGGCTGCACATGGGTCCTGATCACTGACATTACAGGTGAGAACCATCGAGCCTAAGAAGCCAATCAGTGGGAAGGGATTAGAACCATGGTAGCCACTGTTTTTGCAAGGGTGCCACAGGTCAAGTCTAGAGTACAGGGGAGTACTACAGTGCATGAGCACCCGCCTCCCAGGTGGTCTGCCTCTTGTCTGCTGAGCCATGGAGCAGGCAGCAGGAGAGCATGGCAGAGAGAGGCTGGAAAACATTACCTCCCTGGCTGCCGGTCATTTGCACTCCGGTCCAGGTCTCTCATAAATGTCTGCTGCCTCTGCCCCACCATTGGCCACTGATGGAACAAAGTGTTGCTTTTTATGAGCTTGGCCTGCCACAGATGCCACCACTGAAGCTAGCAGAAAGGAGAGAGATTTTCCAATAACTAGGAAATACCATGATCCAAACCAATTTGTATCATTTTTTTTCTTGTGTTCCTCTTATGGCAATTCTGATCTGAGAGATATACTCTTTATCTGAATTTCTGATTACACAAGAATCTGAGATGGACCTCTTACATCATCCACATAAAAGATGAATTCAAAAGCACAAACTAGGATTCTTATTGAAAGTCTTTCAGACAATGCTCTGCCGGCTTACATCCACATTGTACCCTGATGAACTGGAGCAGTTCTGGCCAAAATCAATGAAAATCCCATCCGAATCTGACTCAATAGACTCCAAAATCTGGTCCACTATATTCTCAGGGCTGGCTGTAGGTGCTATGGCAATCAAATCTGTGTCCCTGGCCAGCTCAAATGGCCTGTTTCGGTCATCTCTTGGGTAGCAAAGTCCCCTTTGCTGATCAGGTACATTGAGGCTGCTGCTGCACTGCACAGAGCTGGTAGAAAGCCTTTCTGACTCTCCTGACTGCGAGTTCTTCATGGTGGTCATAGAGTTCTTGGAACCATTGTCCGTGATGGTGGTGAGGTTGGAGTAGCCCTGCATTTCTGTGCAGGTAGTCATTTCAGAAACAGAGTGTCGTCGGATGCCGGTGCCATTGGGGGCAGCACCCTCCATTTCATACTCAGCAACTGGGGTCAGCAAGGGATTGTTGTAGCTTTTGGATCTCACCACAGGGTTCTTGGCAAGAATTTCCCCTGATTTAGAACGTCGGAAGAAGCGCTTTTCTGCTGACAAACACAGGGAACAATTAAATTCTTCATGCTGTATTTTCTTTCTTAGTATCAATAGGCTGTACCCAGATATTTGGCCGGTAACATCACACAACATGACAACGCACACTTAAGGCTGAGTATGGGTTGACTATGTGTTGTCATTGAACTGTGGGTTGTTATTGTGTTGTCTGAACTCAGCTGCTTGTTAACCATGAATGAACCATGGAAAAAACCCATGGTTAGTTGATGGGTTATGAACTGCATTCTTCACCAAGGTTTGTTATCTAGCACAGTAATTTACATTTCAAAAGCAACTGATAGTTCAATGAGAAGCTATGCTCAACCTAGTCATTACATGAGTGTCACATTTCCTCACTTCTGCCACAGACACTTCCCTCTCCTTCTTTTCTCTACTTATTTGGTCTCCTACCTCTGATTTTTCTCCTTTTTTCCTCAGTGCTGTGTGCTATTGCTGCTTCTTACAATCTTCTTTTCCTAACTTTGCATTGCTACTGCCTTTCCCCCTTCCCACCCAGCCCTGCTTCTTCTAATGTTTCTCTGCAGGCTCTCTAGGACATATGCACCTAGAGCAATATCCAAAGCTCAGGAATGGGAAAGCACTCCTCTGTCCAAAGCCTTCAAGATGTTACCACTGCTTAAAAAAAAATCTTATGATATGTCTTGTGCATTAATTTTTTACCTCTTGTCATCTGCATGTACATAGGATATAAATAGAACCCTAAGGCATGATCAGCTTGGCCACTTGCTCTGTCCCCCTCTGTAAAATTAGAATTCTGGATGAAAGTTTTTCCATTACTGCAGCCACCCTGAATCACCACAACATTTCACTGTGCTTTCCAATAATGTTTCTCTGGACTGAGAAATCCCAGATTTGCATCAAAGCAATACCATCATGGATGCCAAATATTTACCTGGAAATGTGCTTTATATTCCGAAAATTTTCTTATGCTAAAAATATCCCTAGAAGTGTAGATCTAGAAATCAACACTCCAATGTGTGGCTGTTCCAAACTCTGCCAAGAAATGTCACTGCTGTGTGCAAATGTGAACCAAGTAAGATTTATGCTTTGCTATGAAATTAATTTCTAGGGGAAGCAAAATGATGTGCTTTGCCCATGTGAAATCAGCATTCAAAGAAGCCCTAAAATTAGGGCTGGTTTGGATAGAAACAGAAATCACATGGAGGCTCAGTTGTCTGTGTGAAGCACCTCCAAGATCGACTGGCACTGAAAGATCTGAAAGTTCTGCCTGCAGTTATGAGCCTATGATGGATGATTCATTTATCCGTTCATATCAAGACTTGATTCTATAAACCATAATGGATAATGTCAATGTAGTAACTGATAAATTCTATCATGCAGCAGTTGCTGAGTATCCCTTCCCTCCACTACCCGCTTCAAGAGAGTCAGGCTTTTTATAAATTGGACTTCTCACAAGTTGGCTTGCTTTGATTCTGATCTTCTAGCACTGTTGCTTAATATCATGATACTTTCCCCACAGCAATCACACATATGATCCACACATGGTCTGCTTTGATGAAATCCTGCAAAGAACACTGAATTAAGTGGGCCTCTGATGTGACCAACATGGCATATGCTCTTAGGCAAATTTTACCAACCCACAATCACATAACACAGGCTAGTTCCTGGACATGCTCTTAGAAGACCATACAGACTGTAGTTGAAACAAAAAAACTAAGCCATGTAAGTCAGGAAATTTTACAAAGGTCCTTCAAAATGTTTCTGCACTTTTTAAAACTGGATTTATTGAGGATTTCAAAAACAAATTACATCATTTTTCTACATAGTCACCTTCCTTTGTGAAGCATTTTTCCCAGCGTCGCACCAACTTTTTAATGCTATCAGCAAAAAATATATAAAATATATTTATAAAATATAAAAGTGCAGAAACTTATATTATTAGTATCATTAATTATAATTTTTTATACCACCCATAGCCAAAGCTCTCTGGGGAGTTTACAACAAAGTATAAAAAACAATAAAATAGATTAAAATTTATGTTATCAGTTTCAGCTTTAAAACATGTATTAGTTCATATTCTTATTCTGTTTTTTCATGAAAGGACTTTCATGGAACTCCCGGGGAGCTTGTATCCAGAATATGAGGCTATTTACCTTTCTTTTTTTAGCTTTAAGAAAGTGGGGTGGTACCAGACTATTCACTGGAATTTTCTTTCATATTGGCCACTAGGTGACAGCAGTTTAATATTGTTGCTTGGGGAGCTTATGTTACTTATAGTTACTAAAGACATCTAAGAATTTTGTACTGTTTGGAAATAATATGAACAGAGCCCATTTACAATCTCAAATAGGAACAGTAATAAAATTCTTTGGAAATTTCCCTACTTGCATTCACAAATATGCATGTACACAAATCTGCATTTCCACAATATAGCTCCAGGAGAAAAGTGCATTTTGTCTTTACCAACCAAAAAAGCTTATTTTTTCAAAAGGGAAAATTTTCACCCTTTAAAAATGTGGATTTTTCCTGATTAAAAAAATTAAAATGATGGTTGTGCTCACGAACTTGAACAAAGTGAAATGAGCTATGAGAATCTAGAAAACCATAAAAGCATGTTTACCAAATCCTAGCAAAACCACTTACTTTTCCTTTGGACATGGGATAATTTTCAAAAGGGAAATTATAATATTGGGTTTAGTAACTCTTCTACACCAAGGATCTATCTTTAAATACAAGATTTAACATGGTCATCACTATTTTTAAAAAATTCTCATCTCATTTGATTTCTTTGTGCTTCCTACCTCATGTACCTTAGCTAGGGTGATTACAGTGCTTCCTTTTTGTGAGCAACCTTGAAGTCTTTCTTTAAGAAGGAGGCATAAAAATATTCTAAACAATGAATAAATAAATTGTTGCCACTAACACCAATGTGCCTGGGGTAGCCATTTTAGATACTGCCCCCCCACCCTATGCATGTTTCTTATTTGTGTACTCCATGACAGTCAATGACGGGGGGGGGGAATCATCATCATCAGAGATATGCTTCACCCCATCACATCATGGACCACTCACATGCCACAACCTAACGACTGGGGTCTAGTGGTGGTAACATATAATCATGCCTAAAATGATCTCTGTTCAGTCAACAGATGCTCGCGCTTCTGATAGTGTCTTGGGAACAGGAAGGTTCATTTCTTTCAGGATCAAAGAATAATGCTTCATGAATTTCCTGCAGGGCATCCCTCCCTCTACCTGGAAATTAGAGCATATATATTTCTTGCTCCTTAAAGACTGGGAGGACTTTGTGTGTCTGGGCAGTGTCTTTTTCATGTGCTTCTCAACTTAAAGAAGCAGACAAGCAAAACTGTTATCACAATTATGTTTTCTCTTACCCTTTATTAGGCCAAATGTGACCTGACATTCCTCTGCTTGACCTGTCCAGTTGACCACTTTCCAAATAAACTAGAAAGGGGGTTGCTAAAACCCATGCTGGGTTTGCTTATGGTTCACTGCTTACCAGGTTACCAGGTACCTTCTAGGTTTACTGCCTACCTGGAAAGCAGTCAGGTTAGTGGGTATGCCCAGTCTCCTGTTTGTCCACCAAGGGAAATCTCCTGGATAAGCTGGACTTTTCCTATGAAGAAGATTTAAAACCAGATCTGATGCTTCCAGATACATTGGACTGAAACTACCTGCCTGACTGTGGCATTATGGAAGCTGCAGCCCAACACATTGGGAGCTACCAGTTCGGAGGAGGCTGGCTTAAAGAGAGGTTTAACATGATTTAACACATGTGTTAGGATCCCATCTAAGAGACATTCATGTTTTATTTGTTTAGAAGGTGAAACCACCTCTCTGAGGTTATATTTGTGTCTGCCAGAAAAACAGCCTGTCCAGACATCTGTATTAATGTTACCTAGAATGCATGAAGAGTGTGTGATTGGTCCATCGCTGGAGTATAACCCGTATGTGCCCAAGTAGGGAGAGACAACCTTCTGCAACAGAGTTTCCAGTTTTAAATAGTCTTCAGTTACCCCTTTTGATTCATGAACACCCTAAAGAACAGATGGGAGTGGAGAAACCATTAATGTTTAAGTGCTAGGATCAAATTATTCATTCATGTTACACATAGCAAGCAGGTACACTTGAATTGTCTATCAAATATAAGTAACGAGTTGACTAGAACTGCACCATTACAACCTGTGCATCAAAAGTCATAGGGCTCCAACCAAGAATCCTGTGGATTATACAGATTATACATCAGCTCCCCTGTACTACTGGCATGGCTGGTCACGGGCAGCAACTGCAGGCAGCAGAAGCCTGGAAATTCACACGACAGCTTGAAAGCCCTCTGTCCCATGTACACCAGTGAATTAATTTCCAGCTGTAGCCCCAAGCGCAGCAAACACATTCAAGAAAGGCCACCAGCTTGTCTGTCTGAATGGCCAGAGCACTGGTCTTTCACCCACCCAGCTACTCCTTGCCTGCTGCACTGGCTCTTTCGATCTGAAAACCACACTTCTGGCTATGTAACCGAGGTTGGCGTTCGCCCACTTGACCACCGCATCACACTGCTGACTCATGTTTAGCCTGCAGTCAACCAGCACCCCGGGGTCCCTTTCACAAGTGCTGCTCTCCAGCCACTTGTCCCCTAACCTGTACTTATGCCCCAAGTGCAAGACCTTGCACTTATCCACATTGAATGCCATCCTGTTGTCTCCTGCCCACTTCCATAGTCTGTTCAGATCCTTTTGGAACTGGAGCACCTGCTCCTCAGATGTGGCCACTGCTCCAGTTTTAGTATCGTCTGTGAATTTGATCAGCAGACTGTTCACCCCTTCTTCCATGTCATTGATGGAAAGATTAAAGAGGATTGGCCTCAGGACAGAGCCCTGGAGGACCTTGCTTGTCATTGGCCGCCATCACTAATGGTTACCCTCTGCTTTTGGTCAATCAGCCATGCCCTAATCCAGGGGTCCTCAAACTTGTTCGATAGGGGGCCAGTTGAAAGGTGGCGGCTACACGTGGGCCGGTGAGGTGGGGGTGCGGGCTGGTGAGGTGCCGTCGGGCATGCGCGAGGCAGCATCAGGCACGCGTGGTGGTGGCTTACTTGCTCGGAGACCATCTCTGATCAAGTGAGCCACCACCTCCCCCCCTCCCTGCACTGCCAGGCAGCGGCTAGCGCGTGTGTATGGGAAGAAGGCAGTGGCAGCGGCTTGCTCACTTGGAGACCATCTCCAATTGAGCGAGCCACCACCTCCCCCCACTCCCTGTGCTGCAAGGCAGTGGTGAGCACGTGAATACAGGAGGCAGACGGTGGCGGTGGCTTGCTCGCTCGGAGACCATCTCCGATCAAACAAGCCACCACCTACCCCCCTCCCCACACTGCGAGGCAGCAGCGAACACGTGCGTACTGCACGCAAGCGGCAGCAGTGGCTTGCTCACTCAGAGACCGTCCTGCACGCCGTAGTTTGAGGACCCATGCCCTAATCCATTGGACAAGGAAGATGGGAGGAAGGAGGAGGCTGGGAACTCCAAGGAAAGGAAGCGGTGGGAAGGAGGTGAGGTGCATGTACACCAATGCTAGGAGCATGGGTAATAAGCAGGAAGAGCTTGAACCTCTCCTGGGAATAAGGGGGTATGACCTGGTGGGAATCACAGAAACATGGGATGAAAGGCAAGACTGGAATGTGAACATAGAGAGGTATCACCATTTTAGAAAGGACAAAAAGGGAAAAAGGGGTGGGGGCGTGGCTTTATACATCAGGGAAGGGATAGGATGCAGTGAGATAGAATGCAGCACAGATGGGGATTCAGTAGAGACAGTCTGGGTGAAAATTAGGGGTTTTGACAGGGAAAGAGACCTGACAGTGGGGGTATGTTATCACCCTCCAGGTCAACTTGAGACCCGGGATGATGGCCTGGCAGACCAGATTCTAAGGACAGAATCATTACAGAAAGGATATTGCCAGGTTGGAGTCAGTGCAGCGTAGGGCCACAAGGTTGGTGGCTGGTTTGCAGGGGATGCCGTATGAGGCGAGACTGAGGGAACTGGGTCTCTTCGGCCTGGAGAAGAGGAGACTCAGAGGGGATCTGTTGGCGACATACAGGTATGTGAGGGGATGTCACATGGAGATGAGTAGAGACCTGTTCTCCCCTGCAGAGGAAGGCAGGACACACTCCAATGGAGCAAAGCTCAGGGAACCAAGGTTCCATTTGGATGCCAGGAAGCACTTCCTGACAGTCAGGACCCCAAGGGTGTGGAATGGGCTTCCACGAGAGGTTGTTGAGGCCCCATTGGTGCGGGTGTTCAAGGATAGGCTGGACGTCCACATGGTGGGCATGTCGTGAGCGGAGCCGGTTGGTGCCGGAGGTCAGACTAGATGGCCCGGGAGGTCCCTTCTGACTCGCTCTGTTTCTATGTTTCTATGATATCTCGGGGGAGAGACACAGTAATTATGGGAGATTTCCATCTCCCGGATATTGGTTGGGAGACTCACTCAGTGGTGACAGCCAGATCACGTCGCTTCGTAGAAGCTATAGAGGGAGGTTTTTTCACACAGAGAGTCCGAGAGGCGACAAGCAGGGGGACTAACATCCTTGACTTGGTCTTGACCAATAGGGAGGAGCTGATAGATGAAGTACAGATTAGGGGAGCTCTGGATGCGAGTTATCACTCCATCCTTTGCTTTGAAATCAGGACTGGGGATGTGCAGCAGGTCGAGCACTAGAAGCTGGGACTTCAAGAGGGCCAACTTTGGCCAACTGAAGGCCAGACTGGGGAAAGTCTCCTGGGATAGGTTACTGGAATGTAGACGAGTTGAGGAGGGGTGGATGGCAATCAAAAGGGAGGTTTTGGAGGTGCAGGACTTGATGATACCTCTAGTCAGTAAGGTGGGGAGTCGGAGAAGAGCGCCACCATGAATGTGAAAGGAGGTGGTTAGAGGGATTAGACGAAAGAGGAAATGGGTACTGGGGCAAATAGACAAAAGGGTATACTGGCAGGAGGAGGCCTGTTGCAGAAGGATTCTTCTCAAGGCTACGGTTGTTTACAAGCTGACACTTGCCAAGAATATCAAGGGCAACAAAAAGGGCTTCTTTCAGCATGTAAAGAGGAAGAGGAAGGGGAGACAAGTAGTGGGATCACTATATAAGGAGGAAGGAGATCCAGTGACTGATATGAGGGAACAGGCACAGATGCTAAATGACTATTTTGCCTCTGTGTTCTCCCCAAAGCAGGACGGGGGAGATCCGCATAGGAGATTAGATGAGGCCGGGGACTTAGGGGCACAGATTAGAGTCACCCCCCCCCTTGAAGTCAAGGGGCTTCTCAGGGCATTGGACATTACAAAGGCGCCAGGCTGTGATGGGTTACACCTGAGAGTACTTAGAGAGTTGGCAGGGGTTCTCTCATGCCCGCTGGCCATCATTTTTGAGGCCTCGTGGAGAATGGGTGAAGTTCCAGAGGACTGGTGGGTAGCATCAGTGGTCCCATTTTTCAAAAAGGGTAGTAGAAGGGACGTGGGGAATTATAGACCTGTTAGCCTTATGTCAATTGTAGAAAAAACAATGGAAAGGCTCATAATAGAGAGAGATCTAGTGATGCTAGATAGGGAAGGGAGGCTGACAGCTACACAACACGACTTCCGCAAAAACAGGTCCTTCCAGGCAAACTTTGTGGAATTCTACGACAAGTTTTCAAGATGACTAGATGGAGGGGATGCAGTGGATGTGATATACCTGGATTTCAGTAAGGCCATTGACAAAGTGCCCCATGATATCCTGGTGGAGAAACTGAGGAGTTTTGGGATACACCAAGGCACTGTCCGGTGGATCAGGGCATGGTTGACTGACCGAAAGCAGAGGGTAACCATTAGTGGGGAATCATCGGGCTGGCAGCCAGTAACAAGCGGGGTCCCCCAGCGCTCTGTCCTGGAGCCGATCCTGTTTAATCTTTTCATTAATGACATGGAAGAAGGGGTCAACAGTCTGCTGATCAAAAGGATCTGGACAGACTATGAAAGTGGGCAGGAGACAACAGGATGGCATTCCATGTGGATAAGTGCAAGGTCTTCCACTTGGGGCATAGGAATAGGTGTCATCAGTACAGGTTAGGTGACAAGTGGCTGGAGAGCAACACTTGTGAAAGGGACTTCGCGGTACTGGATGACTGCAGGCTAAACATGAGTCAGCAGTGTGGTGCGGTGGAGTATTGTGCTCAGTTTTGGGCCCCTCATTACAGGAAGGATATAGGCAGGTTAGAGTCAGTGCAGCGTAGGGCCACAAGTTGGTGGCCGGTTTGCAGGGGATGGGGTATGAGGCGAGACTGAGGGAACTTGGTCTCTGCATCCTGGAGAAGAAGAGAGTCAGAGGGGATCTGTTGGCGACATACAGGTATGTGAGGGGATGTCACACAGAGGTGTGTAGAGACCTGTTCTCCCCTGCAGAGGAAGGCAGGACGCGCTCCAACGGATATAGAAGTAGACATCAGTTGAATTTCCTCTGGCTTTTCTTTTCTTTTCTTTTCTTAGCCTTGAAAAGAGTTATTTGAGTGGGTGGAGGAAAGAGGACCTCATCAAATCCCTGAACCCTACCTTTTACCATGGCAACTCCTCCAACTGCCACCATTTATCCACTGTTTGTGCTCCTGCTGCTTGATGGCAACTTGCGTTTCTGTTTTTATTCTTCATCCCAGCTACTCATGACTATGTAGCCAACCAGATTTAGTTCTGTGTAGACCATGGGTCCTCAAACTATGGCCTGGGGGCTGGATCCGGCCCGCCATGCCCATTTGGACCCGCTGTGCGCGTGCCCATGCCTGCGCCCATGTGGGCATCCGCCGCAGCCTACCTCGCCCCGCATGCGGGGAGGCAGCAGTTTGCTTGCTTGGAGATCGTTTTCTCCAAGTGAGCAAGCCACTGCCTCGTGCGCCCACCTCGCGACACGTGCCCACCCACACCTCCCCTCATCTCCCCTCCCCTCGCTGCACACCCGGCCCTGCCTCAGAACGTGCACCCGCACGCACCGCGCCACATTCACTGCCGGCACCACTTTT